AATTTTTAAATTTAATAAACATCCCACCTCCCTCAATGAAACGCGTAATCCATCGAGCTACTTGGTGAAGCTTGTTGACTAGGTTAAAGTTGGTAAATGCTAGTTCTACAATTCTACACGACCACGCCTAGCTATCCTAAATTTGCCTGAAGAGTACTTTTGATTCTTTTATAATTTCTAAAAAATTTTATAATAATCAATCAATATTATATTTAGCAGCACTAATTTCTCTTCCCTAGCTTAACGTTACAGATTTTTCTTCCTTGCCTTCTTGCCTTTCCTCAGGCTTCAGTCTTTGTGCAATCCACTTCCTTTTTCTGCACAAAACAAAGGCACAATCCCCAAATTTGTGGCTTAAATAAGTGAGTAGAGAGAAATTTATTTTTAAAAAAATTATAAAGATAAATTATTTTTAAAATTATTTATTAAAATAAATTATTTATTTTTTTAATATCTAATGTTAAAATTTTATTTATTATATAAGTATTTTTAACAAAAAAATTAACATATAATGACATTTTATGCAAAAAAAAATGTTTATTTTTATTTATTTATTTTTTTTAAACAGTATGAAATCTTTTTTTGGGGGAATGGAGAATGGGGGCTTGGGATTTGATTCTAAGCTCAAGTAGTCCTACGCACGTTCCTTACAAGGGGTGGCCATTAAGTTACCGAGTGCGGGACAAAAAAATAATGTTTATTTAATTCATAATTTTAAAAAATAATTTATTACTATATTTATTTAGGCAAAAACTGTCTATCGGTGCTTCATCAACAGAAGGGGGAGGTGGACCCAATATCAAAGGCCCACCTCCTTTGATAGTCCTGATTTGCAGTCCGTCACAGGGCAGATTGCAAAACAGGAACCTCCTTTTTTAATTGGCAAATTTGTTCCTCCGCACCTATTTAAGCGGGCGGATTCAAGGGTCTTCCCCAAAACAAACCATTGAGTATCACTTCGATTGCTCTCATGCTATGCTTTTTCTCAATCGATCCCTATTTTCAGCCCTCCTTTCGTCACCATTTCATTTAATTTGCTTTCATCTCAACTTGTTTCCTTCATTTTCTCTGTTCAATCCTTCTTCCTATCATCTTCTGCGGCTACTCCCTGCACCTCATCTTACATCCCTTTACACAAATCACCTCATCCTTAGGAGATTCTCATTCCTCACCCTTTCACATTTGATTTGATTTCATCCCAACTTGTTCTCTCCATTGTTTGCCTGATCAATCCTTCTTCCGCTACTCTCTTCACCTCATTTCGCTTCCCTTGACTCAAAATCAGCTTATTTCCACCATTCTTCCCCTTTGTTTCATATCCTAATCTGATTCATTAGGTTCTTTTGTTTCTTGTCTCTTTATTCTTGTTTGGCACCTATTTATTTCTCTAAACTCCAACAACAAAAAAAAAAAAATGGCCGAGGCTTGTATATGTGCGGTCTGTCAGAATGCTGCTGGAGATGTTGTTGGAAACTTGTTTTGTAAAATTGTGTCTCCTATCTCAAATCCAATCACTGGTGTGCTCCAGTTCAACAACAATGTTGACAATCTGAAGCAACGAGCTGATGAGTTGAAGTATAGAAAAGGGACTGCAGATGACTGTGTTGATGTTGTTCACAGAAAAGGGGAAGAAATCACACAAGAGCTCGAGAATTGGTTGCGTAGTGCCAACAGTCTCATTGAAGATGCGGAGAAATTAGCAGCTGATGCGGAGAAATTAGCAGCTGATGCGGAAGAAAATGCCAAGAAGAAGTGTTTCTTTGGGCTGTGTCTCAATCCCATATCTCGTTACCAACTCAGC